CTTGATAACTATTATTTATTCGAATTGATAATCTGCTTCATGTTCTACTATATGTTTTGCTCTTGTATTGAATCAGATTAAAATATATTGAAATTTTCATACCTGAACTCAAATAGATGTGTTTTTTGGAAACTAACTTTATGGATATTATTCTTAAAACTGCTGAGAATCGATACAATTCGAAAACTATTGTGTCATTGAAGTAAAAATATTTGATGAGAAGATGATCAATATACTCATTATAGTCAATTTAACTGTTTTGCTTTCTTTGCATTATAGACAGAATATTGGTAAATACTTTTTGAAGGAAAATCATAAAAGAATACATGAAAACGACAAAACAGAAATATTTAAAAAAGTTCAAAAACCTAGCAAACCTTAGTGAAAAACAGGTTGAGTAATTCGTTTTCATTGAAATATATTACTCATAACAATGACTAACGAATCTATTTATCTTTTCATCCGTAATTCATGTTATTGAATACTATGATACTTCCATTATTTCATATTTATTGAATTGTCTAAACGTAAAATTCTATCGGAAACAGGCAATAATACTCGTTATTTTTAGTACACTGTCACGTTTTTAATGGTGTAATACTTTTTTTAATTTAAATATATCATTCACATAAAGTATAAAAATTACATCTACTCTACATATACTCGTTGGACAACGGTATTTTGTGTCACTAAAAAGTGGCAATGAATAATGAGCTATGCTTTTTGTAAGATATGTCAAAAATGGAGATCTACTCGTCATTCACATCTACACCCTCATATTGTTCTAATTTCTTTGAACTTTGCAAGTCTATCAAATTCATCACCACTAAGAGATCAGTATGCTTGTCTTTATTTGAAGTGAATCACGCATTTATCTATCATCATTACTCTGCTCTCTTTCTACTTCCCTGTTTTCATTCATCTATTCTGTAGATGTGTTAATCGTTTCACATTTAACATCACCAATAAAATGGCAGAGAAAACATGAAACTCAGCTAAACAATTCACATCAATGTAAAGTCCTCGATAATATTCTAGTAGCGAAACCAGAAAAAACTTCTGGAAACTCAGCTCCGTTTGAAGCTGAAAGACAAATATTTTCTTTGCCTATAAAATAGGATTGTCTCATCTCTCGAGTAAACTCAAAGATTTTTGGAGGAGGTTGAACTCCTTTCAACCACTTCCTGTCTTTGCCACTGATCTCAATTGAACAAACTTCTTTTAACTAGATTTCGACATTTTCAAATGACAAGAAATAGGTAAAAAGAAGTCGTCAAGTTTTCTGTTCGATAGTTTTTCAAAAGTCCTAGACAGGATTTTAGCTGTCCAATCGTCTATCTCAGTACAGTTCAGACAAAGAAAACAAAAACATATTTTATGCTTCATAAACCACATCCATTGATAAATAATAAATCATCGGATTTCTATAGGGTACACTTTAAAAAATGTCGTAAAAGTCCACTTTGCTTCAAAACTCGGTGTACAAGTATGGAAAAAAGGTAAAAGATTGTAACAAACGCTTGAACATTCAAATGTATTTCACTTCTAGAATTTGTCTAGTTTTGATTTTCAACCACTTCTAAAGCTTTCATATACGTTATCAACCTCTTTCTGATAAAACAACACTGTCCTCATATGATATTTATATGTAGCACACTTTATTTAACTCATATGATAGTAGTATGTATTTAGACAATCAATTTTTTTTCTATTCTATATGCATTCATTGATTTTTTTCCCATTGTTTCAAATATTAAGTACCTTAAGCAAACGTAAATTATTCCAGGTACATACAATTTTGAAAACTACTGCATTTTGCACTTAACTAAAAGAGAAGTATCCTGACGACACTCTGTAAAGTAAAAAAAAAAACACTGCTTATTTTTTGTAGTATTATTGAAAATTTGCTCGTTTTACTCTTTTTTTTGTATATATTCTAATTCCAGATGAAACTACAAAGTATTTTTTTTTCTTTTATTCTTACTCAATTCATCGTTGAAATTTCTTTTTTTTTCTTGTTTCTGATACAGACTTCGTTCGTTACTTCTTTTTCTTTGGACTTATTAAATTAGAAATTTCAGTCAAATCAATTTCATGGTCTTGAGATGAATATATTTACATGCATGAATAATACCAATTATAATACGCTTATTTGATTCTTTTTTTCATTTCTATGCCGTTTGTGAAATTAATATATAATTTCAGCAAATTTTGTTTGAAAATACTACATTAAAAGTGTTAGCAGATTTCTATGCAATTTTTAGGTGTTTTCAACAGGAAAATTGTTCAGAAGGATGTGTTTAACAACAGTAAAGCATTTTAAAAATCAATTTAAAATTTTCACATGTACTTTCAAACTTTTCTTGGAGAATACTTCAACTTTGATATCATCATTTTCTACAGCAAATAATAATGAACTATCCATATACAAGCATTCGTACACAGTATCTCTTGAGTTTCGTATAAATATAAGTAAATTAGCAAAAAACAAAGTTTCCTTTTTGTGAGAATATGTGCTTAAGGTATACCAAAAGTAATGACGCCGACACGATACTACTTTATAGAAAGTTTAAGATAATTTTCTCTTCTTACATACTGATAGTCCAAATAACGCTCTCTAATTCTACAATAGTTCATTATTTTTCAGTTGATATTAGAATATTGGAAATACAACAAAAGTAGTAGATTCTCGACGAAAAAATAATATATAGAGAAAGGTTCATTACGTTTTTATTCGACTCGATGTTTGAAGTATCCATTGGAAATCGCTTTGATCGCTTAGATTTTTCTTGATCAAGTCCAATAATTAAAAATTAGATGATGCCAGATCCGAAGAATTCGGTGATGTGCGTTTATCATGATATCTTTCTATTCAAGATAATTGGTTACATCTTTATGAATATGCGCTTTTCCATTATCTTGGTAAAGTATAAAAGCACAAGTATCAAAAGAAAGTCTTTGCTTCTTAATTTCATTTTCAACATGCTGCAAACAATTACTGATCTAGTATTGATGATCGACAATTTGAGATAAAAACAAGGTCAATTAATTTAAAGAAGATGCTAACTAAAGTTGATATAGATGAAATACACAAACATGATGATGTCAAAACCAATATAGGAAGAGGGGATGATGCACAAATGATGACATAATCTAATCAATAGAAGAGAACATATTTCATCGAAGTTTTGTTATTATGATATCAACTAAAGAATGATGGAATATTGTAGAATTATAGAGTACTATTTGAACTATCAGTATCCACAAAGAGAAAATTATCTTGAACTTTCTATTTCTGTACGATGTTATAGTGTTGGCGGTATTACTTTTGGTATATCCTAAGTATATATATTCATAAATAGAAGATTCATCCAATAAACAAAAAATTTCCAATTGATGTTTGGTGTTTCTTGTCTCTCTCTAACTCTTATATTTTATTTTAATTTAAGATTTAAAAAATTCATTCTTAAGCAGAATATTAATGTAACAATAAATTATACAATAGATTATTGAATTTTGAATTATTAGTCATTTGATTACAAGCTAAATCATCCTTTGATAAAATATACTTCAATGTATAATAATTAATTCAAGAGATTTCTTGGATATTGAGCCATACAAAAATATTCTTCAATTTATATACTAATTGTTAGCAGCTTAACAAAATATTCCACGATCATTTGCATAATAAAATTCAACTATACATAAAATAAAAAAATAATTATAATCAATACAATTAACTGTTGAATTATATATGTAAGATGATCATAGATTTGCTCAAATAAATATGAAAGTTATATGTATATATGAAGCAAATTTGAATTGTATGTCATATGAAAATTTTTTGATACAAATAGGGGGAGAGAGAGACTATTCAACACTTTGAAGTCGTAATTATTTTTTTAATAGAAAAACAGTAGTTCAATTAATTTATTGCATCTAGATCAAAATGATGATATTAAAACCTTATGAGAGGAACAAAGAGAGAAAAGATCTCCTAGTGAACATACGAAGTTTATAGTTCATTACACGTGGGACAGCTTTTATAATTCATCATTTCAAAATAATATTATCTCTTCCTCTACTAATTAAATACAATATACATAATACGATAGCTGACGTTTCGAATAGTGGCAGGACCCGAAACAATTGGTAGGGACTCAGCTTTCATTTGAAGCTGAAAAACAGATATTTTATTTGCTTATATAATGTAGAATCGTCTCATTTCTCGAGTAAATTGAAAGATTTCTGGAAGGGAGTCAATCCGCTCCAGCCCATCCCCTGACTCTGCCACTACAAGATTCACTTTTCTGTATTGTCTTGACTGTGATGAGTATTCATATATTCTGTATTAGTTTGTTGTTCTTTATTTCATTTGTTAACCGTAAGCTGTACATGTTCTCAATCTGTTGATTACATTGTTGACTAGAATAAATAATTATAATTAAGATTTTTAGTGAGAAAAGTTCCGATTCTATGCGCAAAATCACCAATAAGCGCAAGACTTAGAGGGGAACAATCAGTGGAAATAATGTAATTTATCAACGATGTCTTCTCAACCATCGCAAAATAACGATAATTTATTGTGTTTCAACGCAAGATTGTCATTTTAATGTGTCACGATTTCGAGAACACGACGAGACATTGCTGTATATAAGTTTATTTGAAAAAATGTAGTAATTCTAGATGAGTACCCACTAATTGAAATGAAATATTACATCTTATAATGATTTTCTTTCTAGCATGCTACATTGTCTATTTTTAAGCAAAGTCATTATTAAATTAATTTTGTGTGTCAATTAGACCAGTGTACCGTAGCAACCTTCTCCAGTACATGGATCTGCTGGAAAGGTATTTGGCAGGGTGAGTATTTCTGTAGTCAAGTCCAATGTTGTTCTTTGGCGTCCGGGAAATGTTACTTGAATGAACATGCCATCCCAGTGGCCACTCGGTGGCATAGGTGCAGTGTACGAATAGGTAATAGACTTTTTAGTTTGTCTCTACAAGAGAAAAAGAAGAAGTATAGTAGTGATTATATTTATTATTGTTGCCTCAATTTGGATGGGCATATTCAGCCAAACAATAGGATTCTGAACTATTTGGCCTGTTTTAGAATCTAGTTTTGCTTGTCGAAAATCACGCCTAGAAAAGAAAGTTTCTATGAAAAGATGTCACTTGTATACATGCTCTACTTTGTGTCATTAACTGTTCGAGCGTGATAAGCTGTAGCATTTATTGGCTTGGGTCGTCTAGCACTAAAATTGACGACTCCAATGATCCGCCCATGAGTTTCATTAATGGTTCGTGTCCATTTGAATGATGGTAAAATTTGCCTCTAAATATTCTAATAATCAATAATTGTCAAAATTGAAAACAATACTAACTTACATCAGCAACGCTCAAATAAAAACTTTCAAGACTTTCCATATATCCTTGTATGTTGTGTCCAGTATTTGGAATGCGCCTATCAATATGATTATTGTTATATTAAAGTTTTTTTTTTAGCTAACTTCTTCTTACCTGAGAAGAGTACCACCAGTTTTCATTTGTAGGTCATCCCAGAAGTAGTCCTACGAGAATATGATTATGTCGCTTCAATTCACATCAAAATTACCTCGCTATCTGGTACAAAGAATTCATCATTGGATGCTTGAATTTGAAACAGTTTCACTTGAGCATATCGATCCAAGTAAGCTTTAAAAACAAAACGTACAGTTGAAACTAATCCATACATGGCAGAAGATCTTACAATACGGATCGATGATGTCAGCCATTTTTTGGAAATTGGGATTATCGAGATACCGAGGTATGTTCGATACGTAATAATCATAGAAAGCGAATGTCCATCCAGCCAATGACTTCAAATAGAATTCTGAAAGTTTTTTAGTATATGATGGTGTCCTCTGTACATACTCGATATTGATGCTTCACATTCTATAACAATAAATCATCTTATTTTAAGGAGATGTTGAAAACATTTCTTCTTGCTTACCTTCCGAAGATTCAAAATATCCAGGACAATAGGAACAGCGGCCGATACTCGTCGATTATTCACAGCAGCCGTTGTCCAAGCTATTATTATAAGTTTCATTAATATTAAATTCAACTCTTCATACACTTACTTGTCCATCCACGCTAGACAAATAAATATGAAAAGTCATTGAATTGAATCTTTTGGCAAAAATGCTTACTTTAGAAAGTCCTGCAACGACAAAGTTCTTTGGCACTGGAAATCTTTCTTTCTTTAATAATTGCTCTGTTGTGTCCATGGCTCGTACTGCAGCCTATTATTTGTAGAGAATTAATTATTTAATTAAATAACTTAAAAAAAAACCTATTTTTATATACAAATAGGACTCGACGTTTAGAATTAAACACAGAAGAGATCTTTAATTACATAATTAAAAGTCAAATAAGATCTTAGAATGGTGAAATATATAATGAAAGAAACATTTGTGAAAAATATTCAGTTTACATACTTTTGTCATTGGCATATAAAGAAGAATATATGGATTTGTACCATTTTTTTCAATAAACGTTTCCCAAGTCCATGCTATTATGGCATCTTCTGTACGAGACTGTTGCGTTGGATCAGCCTAAAACAAATGAAATCTTTTGAAACTCGAATGACTTCAATAGTAGATCCTACCATAAATCGAATCGGCTGATTAGGAATCTGTCTCAGTTCTACGGCAACACTGCCTGTACTCACAGCAAACATTGTTACATAACTGCTATTAGGTATTCTAATTCAACAATAGGAAAGCATACACGAATGTGATCCTATTAATAATTGATAAGACTTACGGATCCGTATTGTCTCCTGTATCGATGAACATAAAAGCGATGTGTGAACGTTTAAGTCTGCGTGGTACTGTGATGATCATGTAGTGCCACCAGATAGGTTGCGATGAGAAAGAAGCTACAAGCAGAATTAATCTACATATTGAAAATTACTACTCGTGATTACTGTACCATCGAACCATTTTTGGGATGTCATGTTAAGTATATAGAGCGTGTACTTGGGAAATGCACATGTTCGCAGACGTTTCCAGCCAAAATGTGGATCGGGTTTATTGACATAGTCGTCCAGTGAAGTAGCCTTAACTGAATTTAATGTTATGGCAAAGGCGATACCCAATAAGCACAGGATTCGATACATGATCTAGAATGGTAACAAAACTGTATTTCTTCTTGGCTTATAAACCGAAAATGTGTGGACTCAACTGCCCTGTATAGAATATCAATAAAGCAAGTTTTGGCAAGTAGCAACAATATATTTTATAAATAGATAATTAAATTCAAACACTATTGAAGGATCAGTTGTACCAATTAATCAATATCTCCTATACCTCCTTAGACCTCCTATGTCTCCTTATACCTCCTATACCTCTTTAACCTCCTATATCTCCTCTATATCCATCAATAGAAAATGATACAAGCTTCCGGAAATTCAAATAAAGCATCATACGATCAACTGACGGTGAAGATTTAAATATTGGACCGTGATGACCAAATTCAGGAGTAGTAGATGATTTTTCTATTAATTAAAATTAAAAAATAAATAACTACTTTTATAGAATGTTGCCATTATAAGTATTTTCTCGTTGTGATTCTAAATCAATTTGATCTTGTGGAAGAGTCGCATTAATATCCGTTGAACTTTTAACAAGTTCTGATACTGCTTCAATAGGTATAGATCGAATGTCAGATGATTTAATTGTTGATTCCATTGTATAACGATGTAAAAGGTGTTCAGATGATGATAAAAATACATTCATAGAGAAATTAAATCCCTTTTATTTTATTTTAACTATTCTACTCACGATTAAGAATATAAGCTGAATAAAGTCCTTTCTCATTTTGATTTAGTAATTGATAATAAAATGTTGCTCGATCACGAACTTCATCATCTTGATCAAACATTGTTCGTTGTAAAAGTACTATTCAGAAATAAACTAATGAAATTAATCTTATCGGCTCTAACAAGTACATTTTCAGGAATAATATGATTATAAATATAACGAATATATTTTGCTGGTGTTTTTTGTACGTGGTCTTTCTCGATCTAATAAATGAAGTATACGAGTTGATAATGATGTAGGTTTCCAATCTTCAATAATTTCACATAAATGAATTAAACCTATTAAATCCAAATAGTGCAAAAACGAAATAAGTTTTTAATATTAAATTAAATATCCGCTTCTTTAGCTTCAGGGTTTTCGTCAATAATTGAAATAATTGTATTAACAATTGCTCTTTTACATTCATAACGATCTTCATGTAACATATTTGATAAAATGTCATTAAAACTGAATGTTTACGTGGAGATTTTTCATATATCCCAGGTCCATCATTCAGACCGTCTGAAACGACGTCTTAAAATGCCTAAAACGGTGAAAAAATGACGTTATTAATGCCCTAAACGATGAAAAACGATCGCCGTTTTTCACCGTTTTTTTGACCGTTTTCCGTCAGCTTGGATTGAGGGCCGTTTTTCCCCGGAACGTAAACGACGCCATTTAAGGCCATTTCCGGCGAGCAACGATGAGTAGTATTATGGCAGTATTCTCGTCCTATAGTGTCTTATTTACACCGGTTTTCCTCATTTACGACTTTATATATCTTTTGCCGTCTGTCCTCAGTGAAGAGGAGCACAATATTTCGTCCCCTTCTCATCTTCCGTAAACACAACAAATATTATTTATTTATTTAACTAAAATACTTACTACTATATATTTCATTGAGATAAGTCTAAATAAAAAAATAAATATATTTATTTAAGTGCAATACTTACTGTTGAATACTTCAATGAAAGAAATCTAAATGAAAAAACACATACTTATTTAGACAAAATACTTACTATTGAATATAGTAATGAGGTAAATCTAAATAAAAAACTAATCAATTGATTTATTTAAATAAAATACTTACTGTTAAATAGTTAATTGGGATAAATCTAAACAAAAACAAATATATTTAAGCAAAATACTTACTATTGAACATATCGATGAAATATACCTAATTAAAAAAAATACATGTATTTATTTAAATAAAATACTTACTGTTTTGTATCTCATTAAGATAAATCTAAATAAAAAAAAAATATTTATTTATTTCAATTCAATACTACTAAATATTTCATTGAAATAAATCTAAATAAAAATAAAAAATAAATATATTTATTCAAATACAATACTTACAGTTGAACTAGATGGTGAAAAGAATCTGAATAAAAAAATATATAATTTTTTTAAAAATACGTAATGACCAATCAATTATAGATCATTAGAAAGGGCATGCATTTAACATAATATCTAAAAATATGGCAATCTATATCTAAATTATAGCAATCTATATCTAAATTATATATAGTATTTCCTAACATAATACAGTAGTATCTATTCCGGTGAAAGAATACTTTAAAAAAAATTGTTTAATCTAATTTTTTAATTAAACATCTTTTAAATCAACTAAGTGTCTGAATTAAAAAATGTTCTGTCTTTTAATTTAACATATTATCACTTTTAACAAATTATCACTTTTAACAAATGACTATCAATCAATTTATAGAATTATCTAATTAATTTGAACGTAATCTATAATTGATTAGTACTTATCAATTAATTGAAAGAGTATATATGAGCTAGGAATGACGATAAGTGATAAGAAAAAAGTTAGTTTAAAAAATATAAAAAAATATACCATTAAAAAAATGGCAGAAGCATTATCAGATCATGATGAAACAGATTCAATAGACTCTGTTGTACCAAGTTATAGAGAAGAAGCAACGGGTGACGATGGTGATATTATTAACTCAGCTAAGAAGATGAGAGCATCCGGCTTATCATATGAAAAAGTGAAAGTCTTCTCTGATGGCAAATGTGCTGAAGAGGAGGCTGTTAAATATAATAATTTCAAATGGACTTGCTGTAAAATTAATGATACGGAGCAAGGAACCAAAAAATATTATAAATGCAGCTTTAAACGTGGTTCAAATTGTCCAGCAAAAATTTATTTATTATTTCATGCAAGCAACTTTGAAGTAACATTATTTCAAGCTATTATCCGGCATGATCATACAAGAGAATGCAAACAAACTGGTATTCCAATTGAAGTAAAAAATGTTATTATTGAATTATTTCAAAACGGATACACTACACCAAAAGCTATTTTATCTGAACTTAATAAATTGAAAATAATACAACCAAAGACATCGCAAATTTCAAACTTTTTGGTAACTCTTCGCAAGAAATTATATGGTCCAGCTCAAATTAGTTTAAATTGTATTAAAAATTGGTGTATTGAAAAATCTATTATTCCAAATGATCCTGATGAATGTTTTGTTGCTAATTATTATATCAAAGATGATGATGCCAATCCATTATTTAGGTTATTTGTTACAACCAAAAATTTAATGAAAAATTGTTTAAATTCAAATCATGTATGTGCATATGCAACTTATAAATTAATATGGCAGGGTTATCCTGTATTGATGGTAGGTACTACTGATAAACAGTGTGCTTTTCATCCATTTGGTATGGCGTTATGTATCAATGAACAAACTGATGATTTTGAGTTTATCTTTAAAAGTCTTCAAATAACTGTTGAGAAATTATATAATATTAATTATTGTCCAATTATATTAGTTGCTGATACATCTGGAGCTATAACAAATGGTTTTATTAATGTATTTAATGTTATTGAAAAAAGAATTATGTGTTGGTTTCATGCAACGAAAAATATTGATACTCGATTAAACGCTATTAAAGATAAAAAAATGAAAACAGAATTAAGACAAGATATTGAATTTATGCAACTTATTAAAAATGAAACAATTTTTGATGCAGCAATTAAATTATTCCAAAAAAAGTGGAAATCAAAGAAATGTCCGCTAATTAATAATTTTATTGATTATTTTATAAATGAATGGTGTATGTCAAATAAAGGATGGTTCGAAGGCTTTGCTATTGGTTATCCAAGTTCTAATAATGCATTAGAAGCAACAAATGGTAAAATAAAATATTTATATACATTTCGAGAACGCTTACCTGTTGGTGAATTTTTATCAGTTCTCGAAAAAGATATTATTCATCAATTATCAAGAGAACGCAATGTTAATGATATAGTTACATCACAAAATGCAAAATCTTTCGCAAATACTCCATCTATAAATTTATCACTTTGGACATCAACTTATCACTGGATAAAAGAAGAACGAGAAGTTATAATAATGAAAAATAATGATGGAAAAAAAAATGCATTTTATTGAATCATCTTCATTTCAAGATAATTATGAAGATTTTAATAAAGAATTTATGAAGAAGCTATTATATAATCAACAAAACGTTAATTGGTGTGATTTTGATATTATGAAAGATGAACAATTATCATTTTGGGAATGTGAATTTTAAAATGAAAGTGAAAATTGGATAAAAAGTACATGTTCTTGTCCAGCTTGTTTAAAGTATTATATTTGTAAACACATTATAGGCTTAGCAGCACGATACAAATTATGCAGCATCCCATTGGAAGCTAAAAATATTCCTTTGGGACAAAAAAGAAAAAGAGGCCGTGTTGCTAAAGCTAAAAAAGCATTAATTGTGCAATAGGTTTCTTTTTTTTGCTGTGTTTTTTTGTTATAAGTGATAATCGTATCTTTATTTTTTTCTATTACTTTAATTATTAATTAGATATAACTTTGTGTTGTTAGGTAGTATTACTTGATAAATTAGATATAAATAAATTTTAAAATTAGATATATTATTTTCTTAATTAGATATAAATTCGTCCTATATTAGATATAAATTTATTTTAAAATTAGACATAGATTGCCATATTTTTAGATATTAGTTTAAATTTGCCCCATTAGAAAGTGTCTAATGATAATTTTCGGACACTTTTTGAAACGATGAAAAACGGTGTGAAAACGGCAAAAAAACGACGGTCATAACGACAGTCGTTTTTCACCGTTTTCAAGCCGTTTAAGGCAGTTTACGAGCCGTTCTGTACGACATGGGTAATGATCTTGAATTAATTTATTTTGAAAAATAGAAAAAAAACTTTTTTTTCCGGAATAAGCTCATTGAATCGCATGCACATTAATTGTTTTAAATTGACCAGATATTTCAGGTGAAAATGTATAAATTTGTTCCATTCATCGATCAAAACCTGTTTAACTACCTGCCTAAAACTCAATATCAATCGCTAATTAAACAAATGAATTAAGTAAAATACTTTTAGCAATGTTGTTGTAGCTCACTCGTGATCCGTTCTATCTACGGATAAGTCGATTTACGCCTTTTTCTTTTCCTTCGTATATGTATATATATCTTTATCATGCGCTCAGTGCATGATCGAGAAAATTAATTAATTACATTGATTTTCTCTTTATACTGAATTATAAGCCATTATAATGACTTCTCATTCAGTTTGTAATCTCAACAATGATGATGAACATCGTTTACAAGCATCAAATGAACATGTTAATTCGAATAAAAAAAATGATGGAAATAATGCTATTACACCACGATCGTCGTCAACATCAAATTTACATTTCATTAATTCATCTTTACTTTCTGTTCGTCGTCCACTCTCAGCTGACGAATCAGATGATGCTTTTCGTATTGTGAAGAACAAGAAAAAACAAAAATAAATTGTACGTGATAACCCTGAAGCATTAAATAATGGTAAAGAATGTCATGTTAATCCAATTGTACTTAATTTTGATGATATGGAACTTGATCAAAATCAAATACATTCTATTAATGATAATCAACATCATTTATCTTCTTATAATTTCGTTATTACTAATGAATCAACACGTTTTGCTCAAACACGGTATCCGTTTCCACCATTTGTTTTACGTTTTGGTTCAGGCAAAGTAAAGAGTAATCAAGTTAAAGAAAATTTAATTGATCATTGTAAAAAAATTCATCAATTTGATGTTCATGTGATTAACTGTCGTTCATCTTCTAATGTTCTCTCAGCTAATGAATATGATATTCTTATATATGTAAAAGATGCTGTTTCTTTTTCTTTTTTATTAGAACAAGCTCATTGGCCAAAAGCTATAGGTAATAATAATAATTATTTTCCTTCAGCTCCAGCTATTCCACCACAACTCTGTTTATTAATTAAAAATGTTGATTTACGTATTGATTTTGATGAATTCTGTAATGATATTAAAACTAACCATCCTCACGTTAAAAATATAATTCGAATGAAAAACAAGTTTTGAAATGATATCAAGATGGTTAAACTTGAATTAACTTCTTCCTTTTCCAGAGATGAATTATTAAATAGAAAAAGAATTATTGTTAATTATATTTCTTATGATATTATTGAATATTTAGCCCATGCTAATATGCTTATATGTTCTAAGTGCATGGCGTTAGGGCATTTTAAAAAACAATGCACTCAGATTAAAGAAACATGTCGCACATGCGGTGAACAAGTTGATGATATGAAAAATCATATTTGTTCTAAAACTGAAAAATGTATCCACTGTGGTCAAAATCATAAATCTAGTTCTCTCAAATGTCCGGCGGTCAAATCTTTTCGTACTGAATTAACTCGTAAAATTCTTCAACTAAATAATCATTCAACACCTGATACGAACTTAATGAATAAAAATATTATTTTTAATTCAACTAATTTTCCACCTCCTCCACCACCTAAATCTTCAACATTATCAATTAATCCTATGACGATTAAGCTGAATGAGTTAATTAATAAATTATCAGAAGCGAAGAATCATCTTGCTAATCTAGAAGTTAAACATGATAAATTTGAACAATTCATATTGGAAAAAAAATTGTAATGATGAAGTTGTTACTAAAAAAATTAATGATATATCTAATAACCATATGGATTTAAAGAAAAATGTTGTACAACAAAGTTTATATATTGATTGACATGAAAATTTATTTTGTAAATTGTTAATTCCTATGTTTGAAGATTTATTTTCATTTATTGTGGCACAAAATTGTGACAAGAGGAGTAATCCACTTGATGCGGATCTTAAATGTAAACTTAATCGTTATTTGGTTCAAATGAAAAAAGCAATTGAAGGTAAACAATTTACAAGCTAATGACTCTGTCGCCTTTTGCTCAATCTTTTTTTTCTTGTTTTTCTTCTTCTAAACTATGTAAGCGTAGTGATTTTTTTGTTAAAGCTAAAGCTTCATTATCTTCGTTCGACTTTAATATTTTCTTAGAGATACTGAATGAGTGGGAAAGTAGTCTATTTCTTGATTCTTGTTTTTCTTTGTGGCAGAAGTATGTTCCTTTAGATGACATTTCTTTTCATTCTTCACTTCATGTTCTTTCATTCAATGTTCGGGGGCTTGAGTTAAGATGGCAAGTGGTCCTTCTTCTTACACCTTCTTTCAATTTCGATATTCTTATTCTTCTCGAAACTGGTAATATTGAACTTTCTTTCTTTGAGAAAATCTTCAATAACTTTAGAATTTTTTACCAAAAGGGAGAGAATAAAAATGGTGGAGTTTTAGTCCTGATGAAATTAGATATTCAAGTAACGCGTATAGAATGTAAATTACCTAATGTTTGTGTTTTAGATATTAAAGGTGAAGAAATCTTACGTATTGTTGGAGTATATGCATCTGAAAGTAAATCCTGAACATGGGAGGATTTGTTTCCTTTTTTATCTAAGAAATGCGTTGTGTTTGGAGATTTTAATGTTGATATAGGTCAAGATGCTAAAAAAGCAGAGGTCTTCCTTACGTGGGCAGATGCTAATTTTCTTGCTCCATTTACACCTGAATTGTCTACTTCTTTGCGTTCGAATAGAATAATTGATAATGCTTTAGCTGCTGGTTTAAGTATCGATATTCATAATCATAGTGGTAATACAACCAGTGACCATACATCCCTCATATCTGTTATTCCAACAAAGTTAAAAAATAAAAAAGTAGGAAGAAATGTTCATTGGAAAGTTTTCTCTCTCTTTACAGAATATACTTTTTCTTTCTGGGAAGAAATGTGGAACCTCGATAATATTGATGTTGTTTACATTGATTATAGCAGATTCCTGTTTCTTTTATCTGTTCGATGTACAATTGTTTTTCCTTTAGAAAAATATCGTCCATTCATTCCTGTAGAACTTAAATCGTTTTTGTCTTATATACGTGCTCTTTCTTTTCGTCAAATGAGAACAAAAAACATTGAACTAAAGAATATGTTATATTCCTTGAGGAGCGCAGCCAAAAGTGAACTTAAGAGGTTTTTTTCTTCTCAACTTTCTTCAACACTTAATCTTCGTAACACTTCTTCACTTGCAGCGGTCTTGTTTTGGTCCAAATGTAAAAAATATCTTAAACCATTGTCCTATACTGTACATGCTTTTATTGCACCATCAGGACATATTATTAAAGATACTAAAGAAATGTGCGAAGTCGCTGCTGATTTTTATGAAAATTGTTTTTAAAAATCTAATATAGTGAAACCTCATCCATACACTGATTCTTCATCTATTGAATATGACAATGTCGATGAACCTATTCCTGAAGTAACATTAGATGAATTAGTATTCACAGTGCAAGCAAAACGTAAAAAGAAATCTCTTGATGCTCATGGCATATCGAACTTCATGTTTAATTTTCTGGATAAATGTCATTGGTCTTTATTCCTTAAACTATTTAATCACTCTTTCCAAACGGCTATTCTGCCTAAGGCATGGAAAGATACTAGAATGGTTTTATTAGCCAAAAAAGAGTCTATCTGTTCTCCTTCATTAACTCGTCCTATTTCTCTTATCGACTCTTTTCTTAAAGTTGGTGAAAGGTTATTTCTTTCTAGATTTCGTGATATTTTAGCTAGAAGAGGTCTATTACCCGATAATCAGTCGGGTTTCAGAGATGGTTTTCGTGTCCAAACTCGTTTATTGTTATTTCTGGAGGATATATATAGTCTTATGGCAAATAGTGCTCCTGTATGTACCATCTTTATTAATTTTCGTTCTGCCTTCGATCAATTATGGCATGAGGGTTGCGTGGACAAACTAATGAGATTAGGTATTCCTTTGTCTTATTTAAGATGGATAGAAGCTTGGCTTCTTGATAGAAGGTGCTTTATTGAGATAAATAGTGATAAATCCAGGTGGTTTTCAATTGGAAAAGGGGGTCCTCAGGGTAGTGTGTTAACTCCCACTTTATTCATTAGTTATCATTGTGATATGGGGCAATTTCTTTCTCAATGTACTAGTCATTTTTTGCTGACGACGTTGCAGCTATACTTGCAGGACAATTAGGAGTACGATACACTAATCAATCTATTGATCTTGAAAAACGTATTAAATCTTTTCTTGATTCACTCGAATATTATTCTTGTTTAGCTGATCAGCCCTTAAATAGAACTAAAACTGAAGCTATGTTTAGTGCTCGTGCAATAGGATCCCCAGACTTCAACATTACATTTGATAGTAGGGATGATAAATGTATTCATTGGAAACAGGAGTACAAATATCTTGGCTATATCATCTCATCTAGACTTGGATGGGGGAAGTTACTAAAGTATACAGAATGTAAAGTCCGGAAGAGAATAGCACTTATTAAATCGTTTAAATTGTTTGGTTGCTCGTCTCCTAGTCTTCATAAAGCTCTGTTCTATTCATATGTCCTTCCATTATTCATCTGGTTATATCCTGTATATCCGCTATTTACGCGAAAACAACAGGAAGACCTCTCTAGGTTTTATTACTTCTCCCTCCGTCGTACTCTATGTTGCCTCGAATGGAATGAAAATTTTTTTTCATATATTCTTGATGAAATTTTCTTGGAAGATCGTTGCTCTATATACTGGAATAGGTATCTCAGAGCGTTAACTAATTCGATTGATGGTAATCTAATTTTTGAAAAAGCTAACCTTGCTGACCTTAGGAAGAGTTGGTTGGGTAAGGAGTTCTCCATCATAGGGTTGAGAAGATCTAAAAGATTCGTCCCTTACAAATCAATTTTAGAAAAAGTTTTAACTTGGCTTTCGTCGGTTCTTTCTAACTCTTCTATACCACATTATGAAATGTCTGAAATTGAGCTACTTCAACTCTTTCCTGATTCTTTTTATTAAACCTGTGATCTATGTCTTTTTCTGTCCGTGTTAACTGTTGTTTAAATGTTGTTCATGTTGTTCATGTGCAGTCTGTTCTGTACGTGTGTTCGTTTCTTTTTTCTTATGTTTATTTTCTACTTTGCACTCTGTATTCATCTTGGATGTGGTTTTCTCATCATCCTTTTTTGTTTCCTCTGCATTGTTACATGTAGAATCTTTGCTTCTTTTTGTATCTTCCGTGTACCTTTTATTTCACTTTTTTTTTATTTTTATTTTTTTTCTCTCTTTTCTCATTTCTGGTGCTGTTAGGATCTTAGGATCGCAGTTATTGTATAATAATAAAAAAAAATGTTGTTGTAGCTAACATGGCAATAGATTGATTTGTTACTAATTATTTCTATAACCTGTTTATTCGACCAATAACATTCTTTAACATACACAGTTTTGCGTTCTCTTCGAATACAATTTACGAGTAATGCCGATAACAATCCTCTTTCATTTTTAGTGTCTCCTTTTTTTTGTTTCTTTATATCTCTTACTATATTCTGTTCCTCCAACAATCAAATTGGTGCATTATGAAAATATTCATCTATTTCTCTTTTCTTTTTATATTGCCTATCTCTAATTGATGAAATTACAATGTTATAATGAGTTGAAGTCAGTAAAAAAACAGATATACGCAGTTCTTTCATTGGATAAATATTCTTACAGAAATCTTTGCGTTTTTTTTTTTCTACTTGTGGATTAAAAATTCCCGTGGGGTGAATCATAATTATTCTTTTATAATCTTCAAAATTATGTATCTGATAGCTGACACTGATAGAAATAAAGGACACATGTGCCTATAGCTCAGAATTGTTGACTTTCACCGAAGGAAAATTCAAATATTATATTAAAAAAACAAGACTAACTAGAAAAATTATTTATTGAAAATACATTGTATGGAAAGGTGGATATTTAGTTAGAAATATCATATCGTATATTCCCAGGTGATAATTTAACGATTGAAAGCCAATTAAAAATACTATATGTCTGAGTTTCTGTTACAAAATCATCATTGAATTATATAATTCCGTTGACACCAATATTCTGATCGCAATGATGATTACATGAATTGCTTCAGTTCATATTTTAGAAGGTTAGCAACCTAGATCAATTGTTCTGATCGTTGGAAACGATGTCTTACACGGCCTGAAATGGCTTGATTCCTGGCATCGACGATAGGAAACGAGGGCCGTTTTTCACCGGTTCGAAGACCATAATCCATCATACCAGATTAAGAAAAGTGTTGCCATACACCTTTGTTTGACGTTTACGACTAAATTTAGCTACTCTTATACGTCTGTATTTTACATCACTAATAGTATAAAGTTTTTGTATCATCCTAATACTAGATCTTATTCAATCTCAAAAAATTATTTACCCTATAAAAATTATAAAAACCAAGAGAAAACACGACCTGAAAGAAAATGAATGAAAAAAAATACTTTATTGAAGTTGAAACTAAAAAGTGATCTACAATAACAATAAAAAAGAATTCAAATTAAAAAAAGTCATACTTCTATAATATCTTATTAACGGATGACGTAAAATAAAAAAAAGACTTGTTTACGCTGAATTAATTATCACAATTATCTAAAATAGATAATTATAGAAACAAGAGTTGATTTGGTGGTTTTAAGTCATATATTGGGAGCGGACATATATTTCTCTAGCGTTCTGTTCGTTCGTTCTTGATTAGTGACTTGAAATTAAATGAAAACCTAATATGGCTAGTCCATCTCTAATCTTAAAGAAAAAAGTCTAATTGATGAAATAATCTACATTAAAAGAAAATCATTCAAACTAAAGAAAAATATTCCTATTTAATTTGATTGACATAATTCCAAATAAGAAATCAGTGGTTTGAAGTGAAAGAATATTATTTATGAATGGAATTGATCGATAAAAATTATGTAAATGAAAGAAAACTATGACACAAGCTGCTTCATGTGTGATGAAACAGACAGAGGTTTTAAGTCGAGAACAACCGATGGAATCAGCATTGTTAGCTCATTTCAACGAGCTTTCACTTTCTTTATTTTGTTATATTCAAAATGTCCTTAAATCAGTCTACATATATAAAACATAAGAGATAGAGAAGAGAAATCAAAGAAGAAAGATAGATAGAAAAAAAGAAATAACAATAATAATAATAACGAGAAACGACGAAGAAAAAAAAAGAGAGATCAAGAGCAAGATTGAAGGTGAATCACCGTTAACAAGCATAGACTACACTATAGTTCAAAGTAATAACGATATTTATCCTGTGAAAAAAAATAGCCATATGAAACCTAAATAATGCCGAGTTGTTCAAAAACTCCTATTATGATAGCACAAAATCTTATGAGAATTTGTACATTCAAACAGCAGCCGTTTCAATTTTGACAAATAAATCAAGTTTCTTTGTAGGTTTCAGAAAGAAGCAATAATATACGCGTTTTCATCTACTTTATGACTCGTAATCAAAGGCTTTTCATTAATAGACGGAAAGAGGCCCCATAACGACGAAAAAAAAACAATAGTCGTAACGACTGCCATTTCCGGTAGCACTTAAATGATTACTGTAAAAGACCACAGTTTATCACATTATTCAAGCGTTTTATAATGCATCATAAACGGTTATCGTAACATTAGTCGTTGCCCACGGTTTTCATATGGTTTACAGACCATTGCATTCGATACGATAAAAGTTATATTTTCGTTTTTTTTCCCTTACAAAAGTCTTTTTGTATTCGTTTATTCATGTTAATTATTTAATAAAATTTACACCATTCTATGATACGTTTCTTAGTAACTTCTTTCGTGAAAATTCTAAAGATTTTGGGAAAGATATATCGTAGTCTAAATTGCAAGAATCGAAATATAGTTGACATACTCAAGTGATTCATTAAGATCTAACAAAAATTACAGTATAAATTAATAAAAGGAACATTTTTATGTCGACTTTACTTTGACTTTTGCAATACTAACAACGATGCATCTTTCCCGAAATCTTTAGAATTTTCGGCAAAAAAGTTACTAAGAAATGTGCAATAACAATGGTGTAAATATGAAAAAAAAGAATAAGGATAAACGAATAGAAAAAGATTTTCGTAGAGAAGTAAAGCACTTTAATATTGATAAAACATATTGTGTGAAACACGTTCTTGAATGGTTTCTTTGCCTTGCTAATAAAAAAAAGACATGTTTCAACGAGTTTGAATAAATATGTTGTAAAAATCTAGCGAAAAGATGCGAATCTTGTAACAAAGACGAATTTCTGTGTTTTTTTTGAGAGCATAATAACTGCCTGTTCATGCAAGTGCAAACAAAGTTCAATCAAGATCTATTATGCAATGAAACCTGTAGATGTTGAGTTGGATATTAATTTTTTTTCTTTTAATCTGTCAAACATAATGAATACTTGTCGCCAGAGGGCATATAATCTAAGCGAGATGTATCCTTTCCGATTTATAATTAATTTCATCACACATTGTCTCTAGCAGAGAATTCTGTTGACAAAGATGAAGCTTCTAGAAGAAAAACGTGAAAAACAATTTTTTTAATGTATGACACGTATCTGTGAAGCAAAATTTTCTCGCTATATAAAGTGAAGTAAAATAATCACAACGTCATTTCTTAGAAATGTCAAACGTAGATACGATCGATCTTGTTACGCGTTGGTTCAATTACACACTTTCGATACCAATAATTATCTTGGGTATCTTTGGAGCTATTCTAACTGTTTTAGTTTTCAC